CTTCCCCCCCGCCCCAGCCCCTGCCAATGTAGGCGATAGGCATGGCTTCAATGCTGGGGTCCAAATGCACCAGATGTGGAGCCACTGGACTGTGACCCCTTGGCCTACTGGGCAAGCCGCAGCCGGATGTAGCAGGAACTGGCCATGGTTGCCCAGCAACACCTGTCCTGTCCACCAACTAGTGTTCCAAGCGAGAGGGTGTTCAGCATTTCTGGGGATGTTGTGACATCCCCTTTTCCCCCCTACCACTGACCCCAGCCTGTCCCTCACCCCCTGATGCCTCCATTTCCATTTTCACTGACTGGCGTTCTTGCCTGCATTGTAGGCCAGGCCAGCCTCTCGCCTCTTTACTATTCCTTCCATCCAGGACCAACTGCAGGTACTTCCTCAGCCTGACAAATTTGTTTTCAATCCTAAAGCTTCCAAAGATACATTTTTTTAAGTATTCCTTTTTTTCATAATACACACATAGACATAAAAACACAAGATAAGCCATCACACACCTTGAAAAACATCCTATGTCCAACACAACACAACATCCTTACTTCTTGCTGTCAATTCCTTTATAAAATGAGAGGCTCCGTGTGGGTCCCTTTGATGCTGCTGCTGATGCTACTGGTGTTGAGCCAGCTAAGTTATTGTACCTGTTGTACCACGTGTGAGGCTGTAGGGGAGGAGGAGCCCTCACTGGGGCGGACTGCCGTGTTGTGCAGAGGCCCCAGCACCAGGAACAGCACACCTTAACACACACAGGGTCATTTGTGTCACGAGTTTTGCCTGTCAGCAGCTTGGGGTGCAGGGCCCCAAACAACAGACTCCCCCAGCGAGACACACACAGCTGGCAGGCAGGCTTCGCGGCCTGGCAGGGCTCAGTACTCACTCAGGCCTGCTGTAGGACACACACAGCTGGCAGGCATTGTGGCCTCAGTAAGAGCCAGTACCCCTGCAGTTTTGAGCCCACTTCACCTTAACACACACAGGGTCATTTGTGTCACGAGTTTTGCCTGGTTGGGGTGCAGTTCCCCCCAACCCCTGCACTGATCTTCTTGAAATTTGGCAGGCTTTGTGGCCTCGGCAAGAACTACTACCCCTGCAGTTTTCACCCTCCAGTGGTGTAACACACAGCTGCAACATGAGTTTGGCTTTCAAGAATTTGAGGTATAGTTCCTCCCAAACCTCTGCACCAATCTTCTTTAACCTTGGCAGGCTTTGTGCTCTTAGCAGAGGCTACCATCCCTGCAAGTTTCATCTAAATCATACAAAAAACAACAAAGTTATAGATCATCCATTGATTCCCCATTATACCCTATGGCCGGATCTCTGAGGTGGCTCCGAAGCTTTGGAGCCACTTCGGCTGGATTGAGGCATTAACCTGATGTGGAGCTCTGGATCAGATTGCGGCCATCTGAAGCGGCTGGATCTGAAGCCGGATCGGATCGCTGTCGACTTGCACAGCCCTAGAGTGCATGCCCCAGCGTGCATTCAGGCTCTCTGTCTTGAGGCAGCATTCCCAGCCCCGTTCCTAGCCTTGGAGGGCTTCTCTTAAGTCATCTGTATGGCCTCATTGTACTG